TTTTCCTTTTTCTTTAGACAAAAAGGAGGAAATGTTGTGGAATAATCCTTTTGTACACTGTGAAGATGTGTCTTTGCTAAGGTACCTTCTGATTGGCTTAATAAAAAGATAAATGACCATTAGCTAGGCAGGAGGTATAGGTAGTAGAGTCAGACAGAGAGAATTCTGGAAAGAAGAAGGGTGGAGTCACCAGGAGATACAGAGGGAGCAAGACATGCTGGAGGACATGTAAATCTGTAAGCTACATGGAGCTACACAGATTAGTAGAAATGGGTTAATTTAAGTTGTAAGAGCTAGTTAGTAGCAAGCCTAAGCTATGGTTGAGCTTTTATAATTGATAAGTCTTCATGTCATTACTGGGGAGCTAGTGATCCCAACAAAAATGTTCAACTACAACCCTAAGACCAGGGCCAAGGGAAAACACACAGCTGCTGACTTGACCCTGAGACCAGGGCCAAGGAAAGAACACTCTGATCCTGATTTGACCCCAAGCCTAAGACCAGGTCCAAGAAACAGAATCCAACCAATCCCTCAGCTTGTCTCAACATCAGACCACAGAATCCCACCAAATCCCTAAGCTTTCCCCAAGACAAGACCACAAAAATCCCACCAGTCTCAGGCCACCCTGGGAAGCTCCACCCCCACTCCTGAAACCCTAAAAAAAAAAGCTTGCTCAGTTCCCTGTTACTTCTTACCTAAGCAGAGGCAGCCACCTGCATCTCAAGTACTAATTGGTCTTAATAACAAAAACCCAGAGTCAGATATAAGGGTTAATGCTGAAAGATCAGAGATGTAGAGCAGCCAGCCACTAGATCTCTACTTAATCATCAGACCAAAGGGGTGATCCTGTCCCTGTGAATCCTCAGACTGATTGCAGGGAGATCCTGACTCTTCCCACCTTATATTCCTCTTTCCGCCCAGCCATATCATTCCTGTGTCTACCTCCCTACTGCTGGGATTAAAAGCATGTGACTCCCAAATTCTGAGATTAAAGGATAGTTGTAACACTTACATTCCCCAAGCATATGTAAGGTGTAAGGACCGTTGAAAAACATTCTCAGACAGGCTGAGCCACCTAGAAGAGATAAAGAGGTAGAGAGAAACCAACTGAGTTGGTGATGGTGGTGGGTGACCCTTAGATCAACTTAACTGTTCTTGGAAAAGACACTCTCCAACTTGTTGAACTGCCTCTATGTTTTGTAGGGGAGCTGGGAAGTCTCCAGTAATTGACCAACTCCTTAAACAATCAATAGAAGTAGTCTGTTATGTATATTTAGTTCTCTAAAACATTGTAGCTATTCCCAACAACAGAAAGAACAGTGGAATCTGATTGGTTGGAATAAAAAGATTACACTCTATGTCAGTTGACAACAATGGAACACACGGGGAAAGCCCCTAATCTTTGAATCCCGATAGGTGGGAAATTGTAACTGTGACTTGGCAACAGGTGTTTATGGTTTTTAGGCTTAAAAACCCTGCTTCTGCCCCTGCTCAGGGCTGCCAGAACCAAGACTCCTGAGTCCTTGTCCTACAGCTCCGATCTGAGTGGCCATACTTGTGTGGAGATTTATTAAAGGCTTTGCTGTTTCACAAGCCCATCTCTCTATTTCCTCATCCTCCTGATACACAATGGACACAGTGTAACAGGTAGCTGTCTGTCTTTGGAGGAATAGTATGACACAACACCCTGAAGAGTTAGCAAAAAATTAGTATGGTTTTGTTGTTGTTGGGGTGTGTGTGTGTGTGTGTGTGTGTGTGTGTGTGTGTGTGTGTGTGTGTGTGTGTGTGCACGTGCGCCTGTATGTATGGAGGCTAGATAAAGGTCAACTTTGAGAATTTCTCAGAAGCTGTCTACCATCTTCCGTTTTTGAGACAGGGTCTTATACTGGGACCTGGGGATCACTAATAGCCAGGATGGCCAGTAAATCTCAGGGACATTCTTCTTTCTGCCTCCCCTATATTGGGGTTATAAGCACATACCACTACACCTGGCTTTTTACATGGGTGCCGGGGTAGAGGTCAATCTCTGGTTCTCATGATTACACGGCAAGCACTCTACTAAGTGAATAATCTCCACAGCCTATATTAACTGTGATGTCTATAGACTTTCTACCCTTTATTTTGGCACCTGTGCCATGTGTTTTCTGTTCTTTGGAGCCTTTAGCTTGAGTCCTGGCTGCCTATGTCCACATGGTCCCATGTTGTTCAGTCTCTTCAAGATTATTTCTTCATCTGATAGGCAGAGACCTAACCATTCCTCAAGCAATTCCAAAGTTCAGGTGAAACACTCCAGGAGAAAATGGTTGGTATGAGTCTTGGTGCTGCTATCAACATCTCTAGAAAGCTACCAGTCCTGTGAGGGTGAAGCATCATGACCACAGCAACTATTATAAAGGAAAACATTTAATTGGGACTGGCTTACAGTTTCAAAGGTTTAGTTCATCATCATGGTAGGAAACATGGTGGCATGCAGTATAACACGGTGATGGAGAGGTAGCTGAGGGTTCTACAGCTTGATCCCCAGGCAGCAAGCAGGAAGTGATCTGGCTTGGGCTTCTGAGACTTCAAAGCCTGCCCCCAGCAACACACCTCATCTAACAAAGCCACAGCTACTCCAACATGCCACATGCCACATCTCCTAATAGCATCACTCCCTGTGGGCCTATGGGGGCCATTTTACTCAAACTACCCCATTTGGACCTCACAGACTCTGTCTAAAAAACAATGTACATACAGGCCGGCTCAACCTGTCTTCAGGAGTCCAGCAGAAAGTGTATTAGGCCTCCTAATCTGATCCTTATAGGCCTCAAAACTTGATCACCTCATGCTATAAAGGCAGGAGAGTCACAATCACCGACAAGAGCACCCTTCTTTCAGATCCAGGGCTTTACAATCTAGTACTGAATATTACATCCTTAAAGAAAATAGCCCGGTGGGGCATGGTTTTTAAAAAAGGGGTTGGGGGACAGACGAACAGTAGAAAGGAAAAGGAAGAATTCAAGCATGCTCAAATTCACAGCCTGAGAATTTAAAAGCAAGTTGATGACATCCGCAATACCCCATGTAGGGTAGTAGAGGCCAGGTTAGAATATACCCGGGCTACACAGACCAAAACAAACAAACAAACAAACAAACAAACAAACAACAAACAACTTGATGTAAACTGGGCTTGGTAGTTTATGCCTATAATTCCAGTACTCAGATTAGGCAGGATTGAGTTCAAGTCCAGTCTAGGCTATAAATCTAAACCCTGTCTCAAAAAATCAAAACCAAAAGACCACAAGCATCGGTCCCATTAAAATAGCAGAGATTGCAATATCATCTAGCAAAACTAGTCAAGTCCAGCTCAGATTGTCCATTTATCATGGAACCACATTATATTTTTTAAAGTATTCCATTAATTTTTTTTTAACATTAAAAGGCGGTAGGCAACATTAGCTGTTAGTTTTTGTGGTTGGGGTACTAGGTAGCAAACACTATTTCCTTTAGGCAGAATCTGGGATGTCTCCTCAAAAGTTCAAGGGTCTAGATTCCTGGAACTTTGCTGAGTGAGAAACAGAGAATATGAAGGCCTTTGAGGAAGCGTGTATGGACAATAGCTTAAAAACCACATTGTGTAACTCAAAAGCCATTTTGTGTGACTTGAAATAATGATGCTTGAGTTTGCCACCAGACAGCTTTGGTGAGAGCCAGGCCTCAAAGGTAAGCCCCCTGGCAACCCACATGGCAGCTCAAATATGAGTCTAGTCCAGGATAGACCTTGATATGCTAATAAGCTAACTTCAAGGTGATGATATGCCAACAAACCATTAGTCCAAGTGGCTACCCAATAATGATACACAGGTTAGATATTTGGAAATGGTCTCTAGAATCACACTGCCAAGTTCTGTGACAAGGCTTCTATAGCCTGTGTTGATACCAAGAGGACTGGACAGTCTCTTTGAGGCCCTGGCCTCAGTGACTGCTGAATGTGCTTGGTCCCCTCAGAACTGCCTGTCAGTACTAGCCAATGGCTTATGCTCTTAAGGACCTCCTGGTTTTCCACCGGTGCCACCCTCCCAGTCTACCAACTAAAGGATTTCACAGTGGGCAGTGATCAAGCCTGAATACTTCATTTCTGCTCAAGGAACTGTTCCCAGCTTGGTGAAACATTTGTTTTTTTTTTTTTTGTTTTTTTTTTGTTTTTTGTTTTTCTGGTCTTTTGAGACAGAGTCCCTCTGTGTAGCCTCGACTGTCTGCCTAGAACTCCATTAGTAGTCTAGATTGGTTTCGAACCCACAGAGATCCACCTGCTTCTGACTTCCAAGGGCTGGGATTAAAGGGATGTGCCACCACCACCCCGCTGAGACATCTGTTTAGCTCATATATGAACATGATAACGTTAGGAATGCTTGTGTGAAAAACTAACCATATTTGAAAAGACTAACATGTGCAGACATCATGGTTGTTGAGTGTCTCACAGTCCTCAGGCGCATGCTCTCTGAAAAACCTTAAATGTGGTCTGTTCAGAAACAAAAGGACCTATGCGTAAACTTAGAAGAGAAATGGACAGTTGAAACAATCTTCTAAGTTTTAAACACACCCAGACGTGGGGTTGGCCACTCAGGCTGTTAATAGATTAATCCACAAATACAAGTTCTGACCCTTAAGTATTTTTCTTAGTTAAAAAAAAAAAATTAAGACTTAAACACTCTTAAATTTTTCGTGTCAGGGTTTGAGACATGGTTTTTCTGTGTAGCCTTGGGTACCCTGGAACTCTGCGCAGAACATTCTGGCCCCGAACTTGAGAGATCTGCCTGTCTCTGCCTCCGAGTGCTGGGATTAAAGGTGTGCACCACCACTGCACAGCTTCCAACTTAAAATTCTTATCTCACAAGTTTACAGTATTTATAAATAGGTTCCAAGCAAACTGAATCATATTTACCAAACTATCTACAGAGACAAAAATACTATCTAAGCTAGCTGACTTGAAAATCAAGTCAAATCCCAGACTTGTACACAACAAAGGATAAAAACAGGAGTAACAACATGATGGAACTTTGTCCAAACAATACAATGGCAATTTTGGCAAGTAACATTTTGATGGCAATATACAGATGAATTGAACAGTCTGCAGGGCAGTCTGTGGACAGGGTTGTGCAGATCATTCTAGACCGGCAGTGAGCTGCATAGTGCAAGTAGGGGCAGAAATCCATATTATAAACGCATCAAGTGAGGAAGCCCTCTACCCTCACACCCCACTTGGCTGATAGGTAGCATTACTCTGGCTGGATGTGTGTGTGTGGTTACAGATGCAACCTACAAACCCATAACCAGATGCCCCTGGGCAGGCCTTACACAAGACCACTAATGAACACACTCTCCAGGGCACTAACTGGATGTTGTTAGCTGCCTCTGGCCATCAGTAAATAGATTGAGGACTCAAGGCCTCAACAGTAATTGGATAAACCAGCTCACCCCAGACAATTGGCTAGATTGTCCAGGCAGCTTGGCCTATGTCCGAAGAGGTTACAGCACATGCAATGAAATCAGGGAATACCCTCCTTGCGCTGGCAGCACTGGGAGGGTGGCGCTGACCAATCATAGACATAGGAGAGGCGCAATTGCACCTCTTGCTTGCACAATCGGCCCTCGTGAAGCAGCATCTGTTGCTTCTCCAGCATGTCCTCCGGGCTCTGTTTGTGTGTCACCAGATACTGATTGTTGCAGCCCCGAGATTTGTACTCTGTGTCAAAGCGTGGGTCATGCTCCCGCTGCACATCAACTGGTGCCAGCCAGGCGCCCAGCGATACATCTTCACTGTGCCACGCCCGTAGGTATTCACGGCTGAGGCGCAGGTAATGCACCAGGTCCGAAGAGAGGATGTATCCACCGCCCAGAGCATAGGGCAGGTAGTAGTCGCAGAGTTGCCAGGCAGCTTCTCGCCAGCGACCTCCAGGCTTGACTCGTCCACGCCCAGAAAAGAAGCCCCAGTAGAGGCGACGGCGGCGTGCAGGCTCACGTGCGCGTAGCTCCGCCAGTAAGGCATCCAGGCGCGCAAAGGAGTCGTCATCTGCCTTGAGCACGAACTCGAAGTCCACGTGCTCGTCCAGCCAAGTCAACATGGCTAGGACCTTGGTCGTGAGGTTCTCATAGGCATCGCGCAGGGAGGGCAGCAGCAGCAGGTCCCCGTGCTGTGCTTGCTCGAGCTCAAGCGTACGCCGCTCCTCTGAGCTCAGGCCACTGGTGCCCACAGCAAAGCGCGCCCACACATCCTTAGGGCCGCCGCGCCTTCCCGGTGCCAGCCACGTGCTGCGCACCGCGCTGCGGCGCTCAACCGCGCGGGGCGCACTAGCCACCAGCACTGCCAGGAAGGCCTTAGCGCGGGGTTGAGCGGCTCCAGCGGCTGCTGGAGTCTCGCCCTCGGAAGCACAGCGCGCTAAATACAACAGAGTGGTGCTGCAAAACGCTAGGCCGCTTAGGGCCAGCACCACCCGGCGCCGCCAAGCGCGCCGGAGTACCTTCATGGTGCGGGCGGGAGGTCGCCGAGTACGCAGGCGCGGACGCTGGAAGGCGCCTGCGCTACTCGGAGACCCGCAAGCGGGCTTGGCCTGGTAGCAGTAGGAGGAGCACTAAGGCACCCGGAGACTGGGTGCTTGGACTCCCAGGATCTGACATCCAGGGCCGCGTTGAAGGAGATGCCGGGGTCAGTGATGCTTGGCACGTCACCTCGCGCGCCATTTTAATTGGTTGTTTCTGAGAGGCTGCTTCCGCCCATGAAAAAGATGGCGGCGCTGAGATTCACGCCTGAGGCTGTGCCAGCTCTCACGGTTCCCGGTTGTCGTACTCGCCCCTTCCCGGAAGAAAGATGGCCGCGGCCTGAGCCTGGGTCCGCGTACGACTTCGCGGGCGCCCAGCTGCGCTCCCAGACCCGGCGCATCAGAAAGCCCGGGGTGAGTGCGGGGGTCCTTGAAGCTGCTTTGGGAGGGGCGAGCTTGGAAGGTCATTCGTCCACCGTTTGGGTCGCTTTCGGTCTGAGCCCGCTTGACCCCGCGGTCGCCCTATTGCCCGGCTGCTTCCTCCGGAACTCCGTGCCGCGGGGGACTGAGGCTCGGGGCTCTGTTACCGGCTGGCGTTGTGACCTCAGCTTGTGGTCTTGCATCTCTAACTGGGTTTCATCCTCGGTAAAATGTGCGCCATGAGTTCTAGTAGTACGAGTTGGAAATTGAAGGCCTGTGTAAAACCTTCGTACTTGGCCCGGCTTTGGTACTGTTCTCTTTGGTACTGTTGAGTGCAGTTCCTAAATTGACAGAGCTTTTATTTATTTTTATTTAGTTGCTGGAAGAGATCGAATCCAGGACCTTGCACATGCTAGGTAAATGCTCTACTACTGGGCTAAAGACATCAGCCCCCTGACAGCTTTTAGACTTTTTTTTTTTTTTTTTTTTTTTTTTTTATTATGATGGACTTTCTTATGATTTTTTTTTTCTTTAGTTCCTCCTTTTGCTGTTGTTTTGTTAGTTTTGAGATAGGGTCCCATGTACCCCAGATTGGCCTGAATTTATTAGAAGCTGAGGCCGAACTTGAACTCTTGATCCTCTTGCCTGTCACCCCAGCATGCAGGAGGTTTACCATACTTTCAAGACCAGCCTGGTCTACTTAGCAAGTTCCTGGCCAAGCAAGGCTACACAGTGAGACCCTGTCTTAAAATAAAAACGATCGCAAGCAAACATAAAGAAATGTTTGGTTTCATCAGAATTGTAAGGATGGCAATGAAGTACAAATATTTAGTAGCGTGTTAGTAGTGTTAGTAGCTTCTCTGTTGACTACTTGTTGAGAACTGATGTGTGTAGGGGGCTCCTTGAAATCCAGACTTAGGGATTTCAGGTTAGGTGGGGAGGAAGAGAGCAGCTGCCCAACTTAATTAGCCATGCAGCAAAAACTTTTGCATTAAATAATCATTGTTGGCTAGTAGTGGGAAATATTGCTCTGTGGCAGAATACTTGCCTAGCATGGGCAAGGAAAAAAACTGTGAACCAATATGAGGAAGTCAGTTAATGGAGTCCTGGTTGTTTAGGGTTGCTTTTTTACATAAAATGTATGAGTAACTGTTCCACATAGTTTATCAAGATAGTTAGAATTGAGAACTTTGTTCTTTCAAGGAGCAAAGTACAATTAATACCAGGAGGAGGTTGCCTTGGTTCTGTCGTTTCCATGGCCAGAAGAGTAGAGACGTCAGGAATAAAGCCACATCTCAGGGCTCCTTGCCTTGGGTAGCAGTAGACTCCTTTAGTTCCTGGCTCTTGGCAGGCTGTACTTCCCAGGACACATCTTAAGTACTGTTCCAATGACTTTGCTATAATCTTTTGTGTAGTATTTAGTCTGTCTTCAGTGCTCTGGAGACAGCATTGATTGAATGTCTTTTAGGTACTAATAGCCTGGCAAAGTTGGGATAAAGAAACTAAGTCAGGCAGGGTCCTTTCCAGGGGCAGAATGGAAGACTGCTAACTGCACATAGGTTGGAACCAAGATGCACCTGGAAAGCCAGCAGATTGGCAGGAAGATAGACTGTGGGGAGAAGTCCATGTGTTTTCCATGTTCTGATGAAATAAGACTTCCTGGGCACTTCAGCTTTCCTAGTGTTTCTCCGTGAACATGAGTGAAGACACAAGTATAGACGTACGTGTGTAGTCTCTGCTGAGTTGGTGCAAGTGTCTGCTGATGACCATAGTTCTTAGTTGTTCAGCACACTGTACACAGGTCTCCACACAAGACCCTGAGGTGGAAAGTAGGAGGCAGTTAGTGACACCGAGAAACAGACACACAAAGGTCAGATGACTTAACCGAGGTCTCAGAACTCAGTGTTCAAATTGGGATGTGGAGAGTGAATGATCAAAGCCAGATGCCAAACACTGTAACAGTAACCAGGGAGGGATGGGGTCAGGTTGGCTTTGTTTTGTTGGCAGGATACACTGTTGGTATGTGGAGGTGGGGGACCTCATAGGCCAGCACCTGGAAGTGGTGACAGCTCTGAGTTGGAACTTCCAATATTTGTTTAACTATGCAAAGATTTATATTGCATTTCTTTAATTATGTAAAGGTGTGTTGCTGTTTTACCTTGCCGGCCTAAGGCACCTGATTGGCTTAGTAAAAAGCTGAATGGCCACTAATGAGGGAGGAGGTATAGGTAGAACTTCCAGACATGAAGATTAAGTACAAGGAGGAATTAAGGGTTGAGGAGAAAGAAAAAGAGATGGCAAGGAGGTGCCAGGGGCCAGCTAGGCAGACAAAGAGGAAGCAAGAAAGTAGAACCTACAGAATGAAAGAGAGGTAAAAAGCCCTGAGGCAAAACACAGATTAATAGAAACAGGTTAAGTTAAAAGAGCTAGTAGGACAAGCCTAAGCTAAGGATGAGCATCCGTGGCTAATAATAATAATAAGTCTCTATGTCTTAACTTGGAAGCCAAAGTTGGCAGGCCAAAGAACATTCCTACTACATTCCTCCAGTTTCTTTTTAAAAAGTGAAAATACCATGTGTTGTCTTTCCTTTTTCCTTTTCCCTCTTCATCTTTTTTCTGTGGTACTGGGGCTCAACCCCAGGACTTACCATTGAGCAACAGTCCCAGCTTCATATGTGTGGGTTTTGTTTTTTTAAGACAGGATCTTACTGTTTATCTGTGGCTGGCTCACAGCTTACACTGTAGACCAGACTAGCCTTGAATTCATAGCGATCCACCTATGACTACCTCCTGTGTGCTGGTGTTAAAAGTGAATGCTATCATACCCTACTTGAATATGTGATGTGGTTGGTCCTGATTATTAAATCATGTTATAAAATAAATATGCTTTCCCTGTCTCCCCCAACAATGTTTTCTCTGTGTAGCCTTGGCTGTCCTGAAACTTGATCTGTAAACCAGGCCAGCCTCGAACTCAGATTCACCAAGTGCTGAGATGTGCCATCACCAACTGGCCTAGTCTGTCTTCTTGGTGGACTGTCAGGTTGCTCCTGCCGTCAGCCTTCAGCTTTCTTGGCAGTGCTAGTTACTCAGAACTTTTGTAGAATCCTAGGCTCTAGTTTGAGCTGTGATTCCCCTCTCTTCCTTACTGCTACTTCTGGTTCCCACCTTGTAGGAGTCCCATGGTCTGGCTGGTGGCAATGACGTCCAGGCAGAGTTCCTTCTGCAGACTGGCTGCTCATGGCCTCTGGCTCTTGGGCCTTGCCCTCTTGATGAATGCATCTGCTAGACCTGCCAACCACTCATCCACTCGGGAAAGAGCAGCCAACAAGGAGGAAAATGAGATCCTACCCCCAGACCACTTGAACGGGGTGAAACTAGAGATGGATGGACACCTGAACAGGGACTTCCACCAGGAGGTTTTCCTGGGGAAGGATATGGATGGGTTTGATGAGGACTCAGAGCCAAGGAGAAGCCGCAGGAAGCTGATGGTCATCTTTTCCAAGTAGGTGTCTCATGTGTTCCCTACAAATGCACGTCAAGGAATACAGCATTTGATGATCTGTTCTGTCCTCAAGTAGCAGCTCTTGACTTAATTGCTCCCCTACAATCTTTCTGATAGCCCCTGGTCCTCTCTGGTGGCCCCTAGTGAACTCACAGCTTCTGGGTTTCTACAACACTTCCAAATAGAATGAGTTGCAACACTTGCCTTTCTGCTGAGGATCCTAGAGCCTGGTCTGATGCTTGCCATTTACCTGCTTCTAGGGTAGATGTGAACACTGACCGGAGGATCAGTGCTAAGGAGATGCAACACTGGATTATGGAGAAAACAGCAGAACATTTCCAGGAGGCTGTCAAGGAAAATAAACTACACTTTGCGGCTGTGGACCCTGATGGTGACGGTACAGTGGACCCACGTTGCAGAGCTAGGTGAAGTGAATGGAGTCAGGCAGGATACCCTAGCCTTACAGGATGGACCTGCCAGATGTCGCCAGGCCAAGGGACAGAAAGGTAGAAGAGGATACAGTAGGTGTAGTAATGCTCAAGACGTGAGTTAGTTTCTGACAGTAGCTGTGTGCTTGTTGGAACCAAAGGACACAGCAAGTACCCACACTGACCTAAGTGATTTTTGTAAAATTTTGTGTGTGTGTGTGTGTATTCATGGGTGTGCATATGTACCTGTGGAGGCTGAGATTAGCATTGGGTGTTTTGAGTCCAGGACCAACTTGTACCAGGGATTCCCTGTCTCTGCCTCTCAGTCCTGGGAGTATAGAAGGGCCTCCACGTCTACCCAGCTTTTACATAGATGCTAGGGTTTCAAATTCTGGTCTTCATGCTTGCACTCCCCAAGTCATCTCCCCAGCTGTGATCCAAGTATTTTAACTGGAAAGTAATGCTAGATCCTTGTTTACAGTCTCAGTGCTTGGGAGTCTGAAACAAGAATCTAAGAGTTCAGAGCCAGCATGGGCTACATACTGAGACTACTTCTCAATAAACGAAAAGCTCCAATAGCTCTTAAATTTTTGGGGTGCCTCTCTGGTGTTCTTACACTACGTGCTGCCAGCCAGCATGTCTCTTGGCCTTGAGAGATGAAAGCTCCAGATGACTACTGATGAGGAAGTGGATACAGGGTACTGACCAAAGCTGTGGGCCGGGTACTGGTTGCCCTGCCTCTGAGAACCATCCTGGCAAGATATCTGGAGCTGTCCATATCCTCAGCTTC